GCATTCAATTCACACGGACCGACCGTCACGCAGAGAACACGCGATCATGCAGGATACACATGCACACTTCACACGATCTCACAACAGGATTCGACGAAGTTTGCAAGGTTTGTGAAATTAAATGTTCATTATTCAATCAAAGATTTGTTTAAATGATATAAATGCGTATTTGCTGAATGCTGACGGCAAACGAGAACGTATTATAATGTTTGCCTTTCTATTACTAATTATATAATACTTTGTATACATTTTAATTCCTTTGGCTAACCCTTCTATCGGATTATTAGACAGACTTCTGTCCGTATTAGACAGAACTGTTAACGACGACAGCGAACAAGAGGGAGAATGTGAGCACTGTGTGTTCAGGCGCTGCCGTTCTTCTCAGCGCCGTCAAAATAAAAGTCTGTTGCGCCATCAAAATAAAACTCAAAACGCATCGGCTAACCAGAAAAACTTATCGGCCGATGCCGATATATGAAAAATGTCAAATATCGGCCGATATATCGGCATTGGCGATATATCGGTCGACCACTAATTTACAGTGGACCTGTCCTTTAGAGAGTTACTATACAGGCATATACTAATGCATGTGATATTTAGGCCCTGGAATGTGAATTATACCAGGAGAACCCCGCCAAAAAAAAGTTGTATTTTACACCCCGAACACGATTTTTACTGGGGGACCCCCTCGAAAGCAATTGGGCTATTTTCAGGCTAGTTTTGAGTAGTAATTGGGCTGGTTTTGTAGCGAAAACCTGGCAACCCTGCACCAGACAGAGTTATCGCTGATTCTCCCCATTGTAAAGTCATGCAGTATGTAACTTTCTGTCGCCGTTCCATCGTGCAGTGTGAACACAGCAACAACTGAATGCTACCCCAGATAGTCGTTCAGTGTGAAACCAACAGTGATGCGACGTCTTTGAAAATCGTGCCGTGTGAACTCGGCATAACTTGCTTCTTGTGATACGCTACTCAAACCATTTGTTGGAAGTAAGCTGCATTCAAAAATGTCATGGTACTGACATCACAGCCATTAACATATAATCAGTGTTCATTAAGAGAAAAAAATAAAATGCTACAAAAGTTTAAAATGCTTTACAGAGCAAATGTCAAGTTATCACATGGAGCGAGGCTAAGAGGAACTGACAGACTCAGTAGTAGGAAATAGATTTATTATGAATCTAGTGAGAAGTGAAACCGCAACGGCCTCCAAACTTGAGCGGAAGGCAAGAAAGACAAGAGAATCTCTTTAAGGAAAGAGCTGTCAGAGTATGTGTTGAATGCACACATTTTCTGCTTTGCATACACTTTTCTGTTATTGTGCAACTGTAGAGGTTTAAAAAAAGATTACCTCGGAAAAAAAACATCAGATTCACATTAAGTGGAGATAAAACAGCGCAAGTGAAACTTAATGCCAAATCAGATAGCATCTAACAAATGGCACAGCCCTCAGTATATTTCCATTTACAATGACATCTTTTTTTCCTTCCAGCCCGTGTAAGACACAATGGATAAACACACATACACACGGGCCAGTACTGTAAATGAGGAAGGAGATCAGCGCTTGCAAATGAAGGAAGCGTTGCTCCTGTCTTTGTCTTTCTCACTCCTTTGGAAAAAAATGGATTTCAACAATGAAAAGGGAAACGGCTATGGCTGGGATCCATGGGATTGGATTTCTTCCTCAACTGTTCCCCTAACATCCTCTGCATTATTCACAGATGACGACACTCTCTCTGGGGCATGTCTCTTTTAAACCGACCCGGTGTTTAGCCACCTCCTGCACAAATTCCTGCACTGTGCTATCTCACAGCTAGCATATGGTGATAAGGCTGATGGCGCGACAGCCGCACGGTTTTAAATAGTTTAGGGTCAAAACCTCAGTCAACAACTTGCATCTGGATCAGAGTATACATTTGTGAAGCGAGTAAATGTATGGACATAGGACCCTGTGTGAGTGTGTGCACATGTTTAGACAACTAATTGAAAGTGGTTTCCATTCCTCACGTCTGCTGGAAAAGCTCATGAAGAAAAAAAAAGTGTGTAATGTTTGGAGAAGTGGATGCTAACCAGCTTACACACTAAGTGGTACTTGCTTTTATTCAATGGTTTTATCATCTGAAATTTATAAGCCAAATCTCCAAATCTCTCTTTTAACAGGCCACACAATTTGAAGTATCATCAACGTTTGTAGCACAAACTGTGCAGGACAAATTACACACCAACGTTTAATACTGAGGGTCAGGGGTTTGTTAACCAAATATGAGTAATACTATATGGTGCTTGCTAAGTGAAGATTAACATCCCATCCAAAATATTATGACTGCACCCTGCTTTGTTTCAGCTCTGTAACTATTTGGCATTTTAGGAAAACATTTGGCAGAGAGATAGATGGGAATGAAGTGAAAAGACGGAGGGGGGACTGAATTCTTCACAGTGCATTTAGCTCTTGCTCGCCCTTTCATGTCTTTACTATTATAATTCAGCTGAATAGAAAAACACAAGCATAAAGGGATGCCTCGGCTCCCATTAGGACAGCCCTTGCTCGCATCTCCCTGAATCCATGAGGAATGAATTGGGGGGATGTCGGCCTTTGTCATCCTACTAGCTCATCTATGATTCAACACATACCAAGGCTATGAGGACAAGAGAGACCCATTTTTAATCCAATAAAAATATTCAGAGTGATAAGGATTTACTGATGCATGCTGGGTAACTAAAGCCACTATTCAAACAACTGATAGCACAATTCTAAGTAACTTGCTACTAAATACATAATTGCATCCTAATGGAGGAACTGGACAATATTAGAATTTCAGACAAATAGGAGGAAACGTTTGAGTCAATCCATGGAAAGAAACTAATTCCCAAGTGATCTCAAATGCGAGAAAAAATAAGCTCGGCAGATGAATCAGCTCTGGGAAATAAAGCAGTTTAGATGTCTGATCATGTCTCATTAACAAAGTTGACTAGATAATCTTCTTTCCTCTTCCACATCCAAGAAAAGTCTCTTTTACTGACTTCAAATCCTTTACAACTACTAAAGCGTCCTGAAAATGAAAGAGAGAGAGTGAAAAAGAGAGAGAGAGAGAGTGGGGGTGGACACAAAGCAACCCTCCCTGATATCCTAGCATTGCTCACCCCTTGATTCTTTTCCTGTGCCCTTCCTTTGTCAAAGCAATCTCTGGGTTTCCAGTGGCCATACCTCTGCTCCTGCTTGCCCTTTGACCCTTGAATTACTTAGAGTTGGTCTAAAGGCCTTGATCCATCTTTAAATGTAGAGCACATCCCCCTTTTAGCAAGTGTCCACACTTCATAATGCTACTTTGCTTCCACCAATGCACATTGGTTCAAACCCCTCGTCCTGACGTCACTGGCACCATCTGCTCTTATATTCCACAGTCTTCCACCCGCACTGCATATTTTGCACACTTTCATCTGTATGTGCTTTGACATGTTTATGTAATGGTTTAAATCTATGAGCGCTTGGGAGGAATTACTAAAACAGTCTGATATCAGTCTGCCCGGTGTGTATAACGCTTCAGTTTGTGCACAAGGACCTTCACCAGGCAACTAACAACAATCCATCTTTATCTGTGTGCAGTTATACTTGCTCCACGAAAGGTCTATACCGAGTAGAAACTAGATACCAGGACAAACACAGAGGGTCTTGTGATATTTAGAGGAAACGCTCAAGCCTGTATGTAATGAGATCCAACTGAGTTTCACTTGCCAAGACCCAATTTGTCAGATTTAGATGTCAAGGTGTTATTAAAAAAAAAAAAAAGACAACTCTGGCCTAATGTAACTCTACTCTTGGTTTGAAACTAAAATAGCTCTGTCAATACGAGAGAGTAACAGGCTAATCAATGCAAATAACATTTTGCAAGTGCATGAATGTAGATGTGAGCGTGTGACCAACACAATGTCCAGTTGAACACTTGCAATGGTCTGGAAGTAACAAACCTCAGTATTCAAGGTGTCTGTGCCAATAAATCAGATGTGATATTACTTGGATAAGTTATTGTTAACATATTGAAGAAAAAAAAAAAGACGTAAATACAGTGGTTCTCAACAAGAAGGCCGGAGAATTATTCAAAATTATTTAAATTAATAGATTATTATTAACACAATTTGTATTAATATTGCATTATTAATTGTATTAATATGCAGTTCTTGAAACTTCTAGAATAAAAAAAAAAAGAATTGTCATTAATTCAGGGGGCTTTGAGTCAAAAAGATTGAGATCAATTGCACTAACACTATACTGCCCCTTGTGGCAGCACTGAAAATGCAACATGTAGCCTACACGGTTTAAATTTGCGATCTGTCTAATTTTTGAATGCAACAATGAACGATATAAATCAAGCTAACATCTGCATCGAAGAAAAATATTCATTTAACCACTTCCTGATATGCAAGTTTGACTTTATCAGGAATTCATATGACAATAATACAATTGTGCTTTGCATTGTCAGCATTGCTGCAGGTGGTGCTATAGGATGTACAAGCGTAAAATGTCTTCATTTTATCTTTCAGGTCAACTACTGTAATGGCAGAGCAACAGTTTGAAGAGAACTTTGCTGACTCAGTTGGTTAACTTAACATGTTGGCATTTTTACAGCTAACTATCTGAATAAGCATGTACGACAAGAACATGCATGACACAGGATCACCTACATACACGTATACAGTATGTTTTGGGCCTAACCTGCAACTTCACCAAAGTTGTTCTTCACCCACGTCCTGTAGGGGCACCATAAGAACCATGACCACAAAACTGCACAAACAAGTTACACCAACATGACTTCCTGTTGTAAGCTTGGCATTTATTTTTGAATTGATCGCTCTGTTGTGTTTCACAGGAGCACTTTGAAGACTTCACATCAAACAACATAGACATCCTCTGCAATTAATGAAAGGTGAACATAGTTGATAACATGGTAGCTTCTTACCTGAAGTTCGCACCACGCTACTTCCACCGTAGTCTCTGTGTCCAAGCCCTTGTAGACGGTTTTGAACGAGCCACGTCCAATCTCGATGTCAAATTTGAGGAAACGACCATCGGGTGAGGTGCCCACAGCTTTGGTCTCCACTTCTTCATCCTCCTGAACCTTTTTCTCAGCCTCTCTCTGCTCAGCTTCAGCACGGGCCCTCGCCACCCCTTTCTCCTCCTCTTCTTCCTCACGTTTGTCTGCTACTCCACTCTCCTGCTCCTTGCTACCCACATCGCTGGGCTCCTTCTCCGCCATCCCAAGGGCCTCGCTCTGCCTCACACCCACATCCTGCACAGTTGGGCTCTGTACCTCCACAATCCCATCAACCCCAGCAGCTCTTCCATCCTCTGCATGTTCTTCCAATACGACACCTGAAACACCTACTTGGGTGTCAATGGTAACGTCAGGGGCCGAACCCAGCACCACAGGCACAATGAACTGCTCGCAGTCCGGAGGCGAGGTGAGGATGCAGGCTTTGCTGGGCAAGTCAAGGGCTGTGGCATTGGAGTCACAGATGACACTACGCCTAAAAAATCTGTGCTCAGCAGTCTTCAGATCTTTATCCATGGTGTGGCGTCGTTTCCTGACCTCCGTGTCTAGCTTCTCACCCACCAGTGAGTCCGAACCGGAGCCGTTCACATTCTTTGGAGGTGGAGGGGCCAAGAAGGTCACCATCTTGTTGGGATTTTCTGACGACATCTCTCCAGGGAAAAAAAATAAAAACTTAAATGTATAAATAAATGATTGTGAAAAAACTCAAATGTAAACCTTGACCTTTTGCGGAAATTTTCCTCTTTCTGCTTTTGACTGTGGCACAAAAAGCCTATGAAAAAAGTAATAAAAGCTCACGTGAACCACAGAGTTTGCTGGAAGGCCCCCTCCGTGGGGTATTCCTTACTAACAGTTACTCTTACAGTGTAAGGGGCCAGAGCCCAAGAGAGGAGGTGTTCTTTTATAAACGTAAAAGAACAAGACACAGTCACTGAGAGGCAAGCACTGATGGTGACAGACAAAAACTGTCAAATCCACTTCATCCATCCTGCAGTGACCCGGAGTCAGCCGTCATTGGGCATAAGGGACCGCAAGAGGGAAAGGAGCCTTGATATTCTTCAGACTTTCAGAGTGCAGGAAACCTGGCTCTGAAACACAAAAACCAGGTCCAGGTTTACTACAAGAGACATATAAAGAACATATTAATTGCACACACAAACAATTCATGTTTCCTGGTTCAAAAGCATTAAAAGCAGTTCTCCATTCTAATAAGCATTTTAAAAATTATAATAACAGCATCACTTATGTGAGAAATAATACATATTAGCTTATGTTTCAACTAAAATAAACTTTTAAACAGCACTAAATTTTCAGCATTAACGTTTAAAGCAGCTACAAAAGTTGACTATTAAATGCAAGCGTAAGCTACTTCGAAGCCTTTTGCTAACTCGGGTTTCTGTGCGTGTGACTGCTGGGCTTTCACAGGTGTTCAGTTTCAATCGTATAAATATAAAAAATAAAATGTTGTGCCTCAAAATGTCAACAAAACAAACCCGTGTAATGGTAGATGAACACGTCTACTGCGCACGCGGGGGTCGCGAGACGAGTCGCCCTGGTTACGCGGGGTGGCCAGCTGAGATTTGGGGGATTTTTGTAATTCTCCAGCAAAAGACCAGCCCAAAACTCAAATAATATCTGGAGTATTTTGCATTTTTGATGCATTTAAAATATTAGAAGTTATCAGCGACGCTTTTGAAAAGTTGTCAAGTAACGGCGAACGTTGGTATCGAGCTCATTCTTAAAATAATGCCGCGCGCGTTTAATAGCGTTTTTTGAACAGGAAGCGCTTGCGAATACACAAACGCAAAATACCAGACTATAATACACAATGAATATTTAATATGGTATGCCTGTCAACCTATAATAAACAAGCAGAGTTTTATAACCAGGTATATAACATTTCTGCTACAATGAAAAAATAGGAGGTTGGCTGGCCAGCGAATACCTTTCGTATCGTCATCTCCATTCCCCTCTGATGTAGACAAAGCGACAGCTGCAGTTGCTTGAGTTGACCGAGCGAATAATTTAAGAGAGGTAATCGCCAAATAGTTATAAAGACAAAAAAGAATCACGGCTGGAAAACCGAATGATCAGAAAACACAAATTCCATAGATTTAGCAGAGCTACGCGTTCATCGTGCTGTTTGCTCTACAGGCCAAGTTCAACACGGGGCTGGTGAATCCAACGTGATGCAATGACTCTACTAAATTCGGTATCCAGCGTAACGATGTATCCCGTGATAAAACATTATGACAAATCAACAACAGAGTCCGGTTCCGGTCGACTGCACGCGGATCCGCTGCAAACCACCGATTTTCCTCCTTTCACGTGAACAATGCAACAACATCCACTGCGGTTTGCGTTCGCTGCTGTCGAGCCGGCTGAGTCGTTATCCTTATGCAGCAGTCGACAAATGACAACTGGTAGTCTCCATATGCAGTATTAGGGTTTCTCTGGAAGTGCTGCTCTTGGATCGGGTGGTGTTATTAAGACTCCAGTCTGTCACGTTGGTTTTAGCTCCGAGGCTCCGCTGCTGCTTTCGCTGTCTACAGTACCCTCCCACTGAATACTGACAGCAGAGACGCCAGCCGACAGTGTCTCATTACGGCCTGAGGAGGTCGCTGTTTCCTTCCTCAGTTTATTTACAAAATTGCCGCGCAAGAGTTGATCCCTTTCAGCAGCAGCAGTTTAAAATGAATGCAGTTTTCTTCAAGTATACTTTTGTTTGCAATGCTAATTCTTATTTTGTCTTAAAATGTGTAAAAAAACTAACATTCTCAGTGTCAGTGTATCCTTATCTAAGTGTTTTTTGACAGGCGGTGTTGTGTAATGCATGTCAGTTGCACACTCTCTTATCTGAAGTGCTTATTAAGAGCTTGCTTCAGGTTGGACCACAGCAGAGATGGCAATATATCTCGTTTGCCCTGGCATGGAATTCTGGCTCTTCTTCCATGCGGTTAATTAACAGTAAATCTGCGAGCAATCAGGCCGTTAAACGTAAACTTCTGGCACATGTGCTTTTTTTACTGTACAAACAAAAAGCTTTTCAAATTCTAGCAGGTTCCATGCAACAAAAATATTTTTCCTTTGTAATTTATTACAGATGATGGGCATTAAATAATGATGCATGAAACTGTTAACAGTCCTTCGGGGAAAAAGTGCATGCACATCTATTGGAAGATAGTAGATAATAATTAGTAATATGAATCATGAAGCAAATTTAAAATGCTATTTAAAAAGATATCCAACAATGAAAGCAAAAACTAAAATACCATATTTACTGAAAGTGCTCAGTGCTTTATTAAAAATGATGAATGAGGAAGCATATACGGTAAGCAAGATTTCAATTGTTATTTTGCTCAAATTAATTTATGCATTTTAAAAATTTTATTATGCGTATTAAGCATATCTCCTTGGTTTGTGTTATACATTTCACTTTATATTTTTGCAAAACTTAACACATTCAGTTTTATATTTAAATAAAATATTAATACTAATGTAGGAAATGGCAAATACAAGTTATGTTGAATTTTCATCTTGTAAAAAATGTTACACATAACAGCATGGGAAGTGTAAATTCAAATAAAGAAACATTATTGTTTTTTGTTCTCTTTTTCTCTGGCCAGACTGTTTCCTCAAAGCCTATTAATATGAAGCCCCTTATAACACTAGACATTTGTTTTTCTTTTTTGCATTCCCTTCCTCCGCAGATGGCACACACGAGCAGGATCTTTCCTAACATTGCAGATTCTCTATGGAGGCCCCACTGCTACTTAAAACCACCTTTGGGATCCAAAGAGGTGACATAAGCATGTGCAAGATGTGCTAGCCCAGTAAGACAGTAAGGTGTCGAGGTCACGGTATGTATCTTTGATTGCACCCTGAGAGGCAGTTTGTTTTGGATGCATTGACTGTGGGATGGGTACACTTTGTTCCCCTGCTCAAATGAAGGCAGTGATTGAGCTCTGTTGACATACAGGTCAATTGAGAGCATGTGGAAATTTCACACTGGTAAGAATAACACTGGTTAGAAGACCGCATTAACATACATTAACAAACCTTTCACTATTTGACTAATTAATTTGTGCAAACAGAATGTGTCAAATGAGTCCACACAGCTGGTAAAAGCATGACTTCAGTCGATCAATTAATATCTTGTGAAGTGTAAAGCTGTGTGTTTGCACTCGTATTTTGCCAGAAGCAGAGGTTTAAAGTTCAAATACTTAAACGTTGAATTTGGACATTTGTGGATTACTTGTGGATTATTGTGGTGTTTTTATCAGCTGTTTGGACTCTCATTCTGACGGCACCCATTCACTGCAAAGGATCCATTGGTGAGCAAGTGATGTGATGCCAATTTTCTCCAAATCTGTTTTGATGAAGAAACAAACTCATCTATATATTGGATGGCCTGAGGGTGAGTACATTTTCAGCAACTTTTCATTTTTGGGTGAACTATTTCTTTACGTGAGTGTGAAAATTAGATTAGAAAAAGTAACAAAATAAGGATTGAGAAAGAAAAAAAACTTCAAGCTCTAAGTTTGCTTGTACAGTAATATAATGTAGCTTCAGTACATCCGTTTATCCACTAGGCGGTGGAAATGAGTGAATGAGAAAAACAGGCATCCAACATGCATATACCGTGCATTTGATTATTCATTATGATAAATATAATTTGTATATTTTTAAACATTATGTTAGTCCTCTCACTGTGCATTACTGGGATATTGTATTTAGACTGGTCTTTAAGATAACTGCAACACTCCGGAAGGTAAATATTTACTCTGAGATTGAAACAATGCACAAGCTAATCTAAATGAGTGTAAGGAGGGTTATCTTAAAGTCACCATGTCAAATGCCTGCTGGAAAGTTTAACATTCCATTGTAAAGAGCCACTGATGTCCGCGCATGCTAATCTTTCAGCACACTTGTATGCAAAGTCAGGTGACATACAGTATATAATTTAGAGAATATGCAGACCCACTTCATTAAAATTCCAGCTCATGTACCAGGAAACATTTCAGCTCATGCAAACGGAAGAAAATGTTGCCCATCATTTTTTTTCTTACATATTGCGGGCAAAAAAAGGGTTGCTTTTTTTCAAACTGAGCTTAAAAAAATCTAAATGTGACTCAGATTTGGTGTTTCAGTAAACGTATATGCATTGCATAACTTGGTCATAAGACAAATGGTCTTGGGAATCTGACATAAAATAGTAAAGCTTAGTATTTTGGTTCAGAACACTCTTTAGTTGTCAGAGTGACGTGATGACAGATGCCCTGTCAGATATCTGTGTTTTTGTTCAAACTTTTAAAGCAAGTCCTGTTTGATGGTATGGAGCAGACGGTACACAATGTACAGCGCCCACACCAGAGTTCAGAGGCTGGGTGGAGTCTATCTATTGTCTAACATATAGGAAAACAAACCCATTAAAAGCTATTTTGTTGATTAACTGAAAGGAAATGTCTTGAATTTGTTCATTAGGTCTTCATCTCACAAAATGCTACTTCTCAGAATAAGTTTTGTCTCTGCTAAAGTTTTTTTTTTTTAATTGGCATAAAGTACCATTCAAAAGTTTGGGGTCAGTAAGATTTTTGTTTTGAAAGAAATTAATACATTTATTCATCAAGGGTGCATAAAATTGATCAAAGTGACTGTAAACACATTGAAAATGTTAAGATTTCTGTTTCAAATAAATGCTGTTCTGTTGAACTTTCTATTCATAAAAGAAACCTGAAAAGAATGCATCATCGTTTCCACAAAAATATTAAGCAACAACTGTTGTTGTTGTTATTTAGCACCAAATCAGCATTAGAATGAGGAGTGGAATAATGGCTTCTGAAATTCAGGTTTGACAGCAGAGAAATAAATTATATTTTAAAAATAGATTTAAAAAGGAAAAAGTTATACTTCAAATTATAATAAAATTGCATAATATTGCTGTTTTTACTGTATTTGTTATCAAATAAATGCAGTCTTGGTGAGTATGTATAGTGCATGCACAGCACATTAGCTCACACACGGACAGAGTAAGGCAATGTATTGGCCACTTGGACCAGATTCCAACATGGATAGAAGTTAATTTTAATTCAGTCTATTTTAGGCCTCAGAGTGGTCATCTGCTCTGGTTTAGTGTTTGAGGTTACATGCAGAGATGTTTTGGGCACGCGCGGAGCACAAAGAACCACAAATGCCACGTGTCCACCACTATTGCAGCTGCGATGGCACACAGCCCATGGACTGTGTCAGTGACTGTAGCTGCTAATGCCTCATTGTGTATTTTAGGAGAAGAGCGAGTGAGTGACCAGCACGAGCTGTCACTGTGGGAACAGTCAAAGAGAGCGAACATGCTGCTGTTTAGTTCTTCACAGATGAAAGAAATTGTTCACCCAAAAATTTAAATTTGCTGAAAATTTACTCAAATTAGCACTTGCTCACCAATGGATCCTCTGCAGTGAATGGGTGCCGTCAGAATGAGAGTTCAAACAGCTGATAAAAACATCACAATAATCCACACCACTCCAGTCCATCAATTAATGTTTTGTAAAGTGAAAAGTTGCATATTTAGAAGTAACATCCATAATTAAGACATTTTTAACTTTAAACCATTGCTTCCGGCTAAAAGTTGAGTCATCTATCCGTAATACTGTGAAAAATTGTCTACTCTGAATCAGGAGAGAAATATGCACATGTAGATCAAGCACTGTTTACAAGCAAAAACACACAGCTTTTCACTTCAGAAGACATTAATGGACTGGAGTTGTGTAAATTTCTTGTGGACAATTGTGATGTTTTTTATCAGCTGTTTGGACTCTCATTCTGACGGCACCCATTCACTGCAGAGGATCCACTGGTGAGCAAGTGATGTAATGCTACATTTCTCCAAATCTGTTCTGATGAAGAAACAAACTCATCTACATCTTGGATGGCCTGAGTACATTTTTTAAGAAAATTGTAATTTTGGGATGAACTACTGAAGCTCTGGACGATGGCACTGTTGAGTGAACCTTCGTTTCAAAGGGCAAAAATGTCTCTACATCTATCTATCACCTTCTCACAAGAAATTCTCTTTTTTGGCCCCTCCTTGCTCTTTTTTTTTTTTTCGTAGTGAGGCCCAGAAACTCAGCAAACACAGGCACATGTTTAACATACCTGCATCGGGGCAGTGCAGTTGAAACAGCCCTCTGTCAATCCACACCCTTAATGGAGGCTGTTCTTCAGTTCTAGGCTTTACCCTTTACATAATCAGCTTCGTTTGATGCTTTTCTTTAGCCAATCCTCTCTGTGTCTGTAATTACAGCAATTATTATTCTCCCTTGTGACTTTGTGAGTCAAATCACTATTGTGACTGCATAATGGGACGTTATGTGCCTCGCTTGGATAATTGCTAACAAGAAAACAAGCATGTCACTGTCGTCTTGGATGAAAATATCCATTTCATGCTTTAATACCAGACACGCTTTATCCAAATGCTCGCTGTTATCTAATATGTGAGAGCATCCCAAGGCCACATTGTCAGAAGAAAGTGTCTTGTAACACCATACGGCTGCCACTGTGTGTAATGTGTGTCAGACCGCTGTGGTGTTCTGGTTTGTGTATGATGGCTTGAAATGCAATATGCATAATATTGTGTTTTAATCACACAATATGTGGTCACACCTAAGTGTCTGCAGCATTACGACACTGATGGTCGTAATAGATTTGGAAAAGCCAGTAGTTTAGGTTTACTGAGTCAAACTTTGGTCTTTGTGGAGAGCCAGTTCCACCCTCCATACTATAAATGTCAAGGACATGTGAAATTATTCTAAAATCTCTGATAGCTAAAAGTATCTATCCAGGCCCAAGATAAAATATCCTCTTATATTTTTGTATGAAATAATATATTTACTGTTACTGCATAATGGGACGTTAGACATTGATTTAAAAAAAAAAAAAAAATTACAAATTTCAATCTAATATGGGTTATGAGGATTATGTGCTTATTTCTTGAAAGGATAGTTCACCAAAAAAATCGCTCACTCTCATGTTGTTCCAAACTCACGTGATGTTTTATGTAATGAAAGTGAATGAGTAGTGGGGATGTGAAGCTTCAAAATTATATATCAATATTCCAAGTTTTCTGAAGCCATTTTTTTTGTGTGAAGAACAAACTGTAATTTAAGTCACTGTTCACAAAAAACTCTTGACATCCACCTTAGATCTCCTTGATGTGTTCATGAGAGAAGTAGCAGTGTCTAATTCATGAACGAATCATTCTTTTGAATCAGATATTTTCAATGAATCAGTTGAGTAAGCTTGCAAATAATTGATTTAGTAATTAGACTGGTCCAATTCATGTTCATCTGGTCCAATATCCAATTCATATACAATTTTTAAAAATCTTTTCAATGAATTGGATGATTCATTAGAAAGTAGACTGATCCAACTCTTTAACTCAATGATTCACTGGATTCACTTGAATTTTGGTCTGTTTGTCATACAAAGCTATCAAATTGCTTTAGAAGACTTGTGTTAGAATATAACACAAACGTCTTATGGATTACATCTATAAGGTTTTTATGAAACATTTATGGTTCTTTTTGTCCTTTTTAAGAACTTCATTGTGATTGCATAAAACAGAAAGTCATACAGGGTTGGAATGACATGAGGGTGAGTGACAAAACTTTTATTTCTGGATAAATTATCCCTTTAAAGCCCAAGTGCACTCTTAAAAATAAAGGTGCTTCACAATGCCATAGAAGAACCTTTTTGTCTAAAAGTTCCATAAAGAACCTTTAACATCTGAAGAACCTTTCTGTTTCACAAAAGGTTCTTCAGATTATAAAAAGGTAAGAAAGAGATGATTCTTTAAAGAACCTTTGACTGAATGGTTAAGAGTGTGTGTAAGTTCTGCACAACTAATTGTAAAAATAACAGCTGTTTCCAACAAGTTTTCTTAAAACTGTCATTGTCCAGCCAAACAGGCATTTCTACCCCAAACTTATGCCATTGGTTGAAGCAGAAGTTGACATGTCGGACTGCTCAAACAGATAGAGCAATATTGAAGTAGCCAGTGTTTGCACTTTTCGGAAAAATGAGCTTACTTAAAGTAGCCTCTGCATTTTAAACAAGCAGGAGACGGTATATTTTCACTCTGAAACCACTAGACACATCATCAAATTTATCACTGTTTGCCTGTTTTCCCAATTCAGTCTTTTTGTGAGCTTTATATTAAACCACTGACCACATATTGGCCACACATTTATAAAAATATCAAAATGTTGCATTTTAAGTGTTGGGTGAGTGGTTGAGCTCTGAATGTAGCCTTTTACTGGATGGGGGAATTTGAGTCTAATTATACTGCCTGGGCACTTGAACAAGAAACAGACAAAACCTAGTCTTTCTTCTCTTTGCAGACTGTGATTACATTGGCTATAGTGTATTTGACTGGTTTACTGTTTACAAAGGAGTGCTTAGTTTTGATGTGACCCAGTCCAGTGGGTTGGAGTGGGCTGGAATTAAAGAAAAGAATGAATAACACACTTGTTTGCCTGGACGGCTGTCCTTGCTGTGTGCCATGAATTTCTTTAAAAGCTTTTACCATCTTTCCTACTTTCCCTTTCTGAGGAACTCTGAGCGTATCTGGACTCTGATTCAGCCGTTTAGCACCAGCGACAATCGTCTGGGACTCAGCCATGGCAGCAGCAAGAGGACGTACAGATCTACAGGTACGCTGAGACGTCTAGAAGCCGTTGGTATTTCTTTGGGGGCTGCGACATGGCATTCCTCATTTTCTTTCCCTTGCTCTCTGTCCTGCTCCGTCCTCACATCGGGGTGCAGAATGTTCTGTGTATTTAGAGGAAGGTAATCATGTAGTTCTCTCTCTTCTGAAGCTGAGCATCACTCAAAGAATCCATCAAATATCAATTAGTGATAGACTGCAAAGACCGCTTGAACCTTTAATGTACCGGATGATCAACACGACATGCATTTACCAGACTATTACTGGGGTCAGGTGGATTGTCGCAAACCTCTGACAGCCATGGCTTCTCAGGGAGAGAATTACAACACTGGGAAAGCTGGGAATTGTTTATATGTTCAGTAAAAATGAGTCTCTTGAAGCACAATTCTGAAAAAGTTTCTATTTCTGGCAATGTGATATTTTTAGATGGCTCATAATATCAGATGACTGAAACAAGTGATTCTGAATTGTTTCTTATAGGATTTTTAAAAGGTTTTAGAACAAAATAATTTAGGAATAAAATACAGCTTGAAGTTCACAGGTACTCTTTTTTTTTTTTTTAAAGGACAGTTCACCCAAAAATGAAAAATCTGTCATCTGTAATTTACTTACCCATAAATCATTACAAACCTGTATGACTTTCTTCTGTGGAACACAAAAGAAGATATTGTGGGGGAAAAAACTGTAATGTTTTTTTCATACAGTGAATATCGGCAGGTTCATATTCTTAAAAATAAATAAAGTACACCACCATTCAAAGGTTTTGGGTCAGTAAGATTTTTTAAAATTAAGATATCTTATGCTCACCAAGGCTGCATTTATTGGATGAAAAATACAGTTAAAAAGGTACTATTTTTGAATATTATTAATTTTTTTAAATAATTGTTTTCTATTTTTATTTATTTTAAAATGTAATTTATTCCTGAGATGACAAAGCTGAATTTTCATCATCATTACTCTAGTTTCCAGTGTCACATGATCCTTCAGAAATCATAATATGCAGATTAAAACACCATCATCATCATCATCATCATCATCATTATTATTATTATTATTATAAAAAACAGTTGTGCTGCTCCATATTTTTCTGGAAACTGTGATACTTTTTTTTTTTCAGGATTCTTTGATGAATGAGTTTATTTAATAATATAAATATAAATCTTTTGTAAATGTATAAATGCCTTAACTGTCACTTTTGAACAATTTAATGCATTCTTGCTCAATAAAACTATTTATTTAAAAAAAATGACTGATCCAACTTTTGAACAATAGAGTATATTTTTGCGTTCTGCAGTGAACTTTTCCTCTAAGGTTTTATTCAATGACTTTTTCAGACGTGCTTCTATTATTAGTGGCATATATTAAATTCCACTTCCTAGGGACAGATTCCTGCAGGATTTGTTTGTCATAGGACTATCCTTGCTCCTCACATGCCTCACATCCATCTTGCTAAGTATGTGCCAGTAAATGTCCAAATGTCCTATCTGCTGACTTGTTAATTTTTTAACAACATTATATTATTAACTTTAATAACCCATGGCCAGAGCAGCAAAGACAGAAATTAGTTATGAAACTAAGGTCTCAGTGCGGTCACTTGCAGCAGAACGACACACCATCATGTGTCCGAGAAGCGCAGCTCTCCAACCTAATCCACAGTCCTGACAGTGAGTTTAGGATCCCATTTCCTCAGGATTACACAGCACTCACAGGCAGGGCAGTTGGAGTACTATATAATATTACAGAGCACATTGATCCCTGTGAAAATGATTGCCAGATAAAGCACTGATTAAAACAGGGGCCATGGGGGTTCAACGGATGTAAAATGGTTTAAGGGGTTCGTCTGACCTCGGATATGTGCATTACTGGTATGAGATAACAGATAATACTCAGTTTTACCCTAGGGTTGAAAAGAAGTCATGTCACTTACATGAAAGTTATGTTTCGACTTTCCATGGTTTTGAGATTTAGGCCTAACTTTAGGCTATTTTTCTTTGCCAGTGCAATTTATATCGAATTCTTTCCTGAGATTCTCTCCAGTCTTTTCTTGTATTCTCCACTGAAACATTTGGAGTGTCTTTGTGAAGTACAGCATGATGACTGGCATTTCTGGGAATTGGCTACTACTCTTTGACCTGATGGCACCTTGGTGCCACTTCATCCAGGCTCTATAGTGGGCAGTAGCACCTGATCTGGCATCTCTCACACTAGTGTCACACATTTGAAGGCAACACAGCCACGTGTTGAATGCATTTCCTTCAACTTTGTGTCATTTTGTGCTTTTTCCCTTCATGACTGGGAGTGTCTCAGAAGGGTGCGTGTGGAATTCATATAGAATTTCCGTGGAAATCCAAGCAACGTATTGATCTTTCTGGCCTGCAGGCCTGGATCATGTCCCATGATGCAGTGCTGCTGTTGCAGTAACCATAACAGCTAATACTCAAATGCACCCAGGAATGCTGGGAGATTTAAGTGTTTCCAGATGGGGGATGAAACACAGATTGCACAATTATGCTGTCATCTATGAAGGGGCCCTGTAAACATTTAAGTGCACTCACATGATGTTACTTTTTAAAAAATTTTGCAGCAGCTTTGGTGATTTTGAAGCTTATAGAATGAGGGCATGAGATCATGAGGTTTACAACGAAGGCCAAACATGTGTTATGTAAGTGCATTAAACAGGGTTATTGGTAATTAGGTTTGTTTGCTATAATAATAACACAGTGTTTAATGTTTAACTCTCCTCCTCTGGTTACAGTCGTCTGTCGGCTGGATGTTTGGTCACTGTGGTGACAGTTGGATGCAGATGTCTATAGTTTCTGTGTAGATGAACACAAAATCCCCATTGTTTTTATGAAGACATCTAGTAGGAGAAATAATAGGAGAAATTAAGGGTTTTCCCCTTTCAATTTCACGGTTTCCAAAAAAAAGCCTGGTTGAATAATATCTTTAAATAATACTTTACTGTATATTATGATAAGCACAATTGATCTTGTATTAAAGTAAGAAATAGTTTGTGAATTATCCAATTCCCAGTCATAAAACGGACTGGAAAAGCTGCCCATGCAAGCATTAGGTAATTTGTGTCTGGACATTGTCAAACCCATTCATTCTAGGACATTTACTCACAAAAACTCTTTAGTTAGTTAATGGTTAGTGCCCATGATGAAAAACTGTAATAGAAAGAGACATTTCAAGTCTTTTTACAGATTTTTCAGTTTTTGGAAGTGAAAAAGGACAAGTCATATTAGAATTTACAGTGAAAAAAAAAGAAATTCCCAGAAGAGTTGACACCTCACATTTGACTTTTTATTTGTATTTATTGATTTATTTTTTTAGTAATACAATATATTAGTAATTGCCATGCCGCTCTCTCATTACCACCTGTGTTTTTAGTGGTTGTCAGTATGTGT